TTCCATTGTGTGTATGTACCATAGTGTGGATATCCATTCCTCAGTTGATGGACACCTAGTTTGTTTCCATCTTTTGGCTATTGTAAATAGTGCTGCAATTAACATGGGTGTACATATGTCCGTTTTACCATCAGGATTAGTTTTGATATAAAGATTGTTGACTGTTAACTCCCAAAGCAACCAACAAAATAACCTTGATCAAGCAGAGCCAAGTTTCTTGGTTACTGTAGTAATGGGGATCACTGTGACTACGGCCACAGTCAGAGCAGTGTCTCAGAAGGGAGAGGTCAAGGTCAAGGTTTTGGAGGTCTGGTTTAAGGTAGGTCATACAGTGGAGGTATGAGTCCTGCCTGGGACTACGCAAAATTCATTATTTAATAGACACAGTGAGATTAGGGTTTTGAGCTGGGCCTTAGGGTATAAAAAGTCATTTGTAAACCAAGTTAATCAGTTTTTCTGAAAAAGTAACTATTACCCTGGTAAGAACTAATTGAGTCCATTGTTAAAATAAATGGATTTTCAGCAAGTTCCTGAAATAATCCATAAAGTTATTTGCAACTTCATCTTCCTAGGCAAGAAATTCCTGGGAGAATAAAGTCATGCTAATTAGACAATCTTTCTTCTTAACTAAGCTGTGAGGCTAGATGTAGATGGTTTCAGTTCAGTGTTCTTTAGTGCTATTGTTCTTAATAGTCACTACAAACCTTTTTGAAGCTAATGAAAGCATTAAAACCATTTGAATTGAGCTGTCTATGTGACCAGGCATTAAGGCCTCAACTGGTCCCTCTCTTGCCTTCAAAAATACTAGACCTAATATATATATTAAAGAAGTGAGAGTTGCCACACAAATAGGCATATGCACATCCATGTTCATCACAGCACTATTCACAATAGCAAAGAGATGGAAACAACGTAAGTGCCCATCAACAGGTGAATGGATAAACAAACTGTGGTACATACACACAATGGAATACTATGCAATATCAAAGAATAACAAAGAATCTATAAAACACTTCATAACATGGATGAACTTCCAAAACCAAAACTCACTGCTGTCGAGTCGGATCCGACTCATAGCAACCCCTCCTTGGGTTTCCAAGGTGGTATCACTATGGAAGTAGATTGCCCAACCTTCCTTCTGAGGAGTGGCTTGTGGGTTTGAACTGCCAGCCTTCTGGT